GTGAAAAACCTGTCCTTGGTTACTTGCTTTGAGACAGAGTTCCAAGTAGCATATACTGGCATCATACTCAATAGTATCAGAGGATTGACCTCTTGATTCTCCTGCCTCCACCCACACATTGGGCAAAGGCTTTTTGTGTGTGATTCCAAGGATTGAGCATAGGTTCTTATGCTCTCTATCACTGGGCTATCTTTGCAGCCTCTAATTTGCATGACAGTCTGGGTTGCCTTTAGTTCTCCTGACCACTGGCAAATATAGATTTTTCCAACCTTTTTTTTTCTTTTGAGACAAAGTCTCTCTACATACCCCTGGAATTCACTATGTAGACCATGCTGACCTTAAACTCACAGAGATCTGCCTGCCTCTGTCTAACAAGTGATGGGATTAAGGGAAAGGACAATCTGCTCAGTCCAACAATAAGTTTGTTTGTTTGTTTCAAGACAGAGTTTCTCTGTGTAGGCTTGACTGTTCTATACACGATTTTGTAGACCAGGCTGGCCTCGAACTCACAGCAATCTGCCTGCCTCTGCCTCCTTGAGTGCTGGGATGAAAGCCACCATGCTCAGCTCCAACCTTAATTATTAATGTTAATTCTCAGGTTGTATATTACCACAAGGATACATACATTACAGAATGGGTTAAAGAGGCTACATACAGAGTTCAGAGGCACCCTGCTGAAGGCAGGAGGCAGGAAGTTAACACAGGTAGAGGTTGGGAGAGTTCTTGCAGGTGCTTAGATTAATGTAACTAATGTTGCCACAGCTCCAGCCTGGGTACTGAAGCTCTGGGATGGTTCTAGGTGCTAAACTGAGCTGAGTGGGAGTGATTCAACTCTGTAAATCCAGCATTTGTGAGGCAGAGGCAAGTGCATCAAACTCCTGGCCAGCCTGCTGGATTAGTTACAATCTGGTGAGACAGGGCTACACAGTCAGAATTTTGTCTTTAAGAAAAATAATGAGACGAGGTAGTGGTAGTGTTTGTGAGCAAGTTCTGGGCTTACTAGGTCATTGGAAAAGATAACTTGAGCTGGTTTTGTCAAGCAGTCCATGTAAGCTGAAACCCTTGGGTCCCTGGGGACAGAGTCAGGAACTTAATGCTTGTGGATAGCTAGAGGATGGGTGCTAGAAGCCCCGCCTATTGTATGACACAGGTGAAGGAGCTGCATTATTCATTGGTCTGGTGTGTTTGATAAGTTTGTGGGCCTGGTTTTTCTGATATAGTTTCCATACACCTATGCATACGTATGTTTCGGATTTAATTTGACGATGTCTATCAAATTAAGTGATAGATAGATAGATCAGGAACATCCTGATCTCTATTCCACATGTGGTACTGCAGCTTTGCAATACCAGCACTCAAGAGGCTGAGTCAGAAGGATTAATAGTTTAAGCCTAGACTGAACTACAAAATGAGTCTGAAGCCAGCCCCAGCTATATAGTGAAACTGTCTCAAGACCAAAATTTTTTCAAATTTTACATTTTTATCTTATTTATTTTTTGGTTTTTCGACACAGGGTTTCTCTGTGTAGCCTTGGCTCTCCTGGACTTGCTTTGTAAACTAGGCTGGCTTTGAACTCTCAGAGGTCTGTCTGCCTCTGCCTCCCAACCCCCCAAAAGAATTAAAAGCACTGGGCGTTGTGGTGGACGCCTGTAATCCCAGTACTCTGGGAGGCAGAGGCAGGCAGATCTCTGTGAGTTTGAGGCCAGCTTGGTCTACAAAGCGAGTCCAGGATATCCAAGACTACACAGAAAAATCTTGTCTCCAAAAAACCAACAAAAAAATAAATAAAATTAAGGTAGTTGTTTTCTTCATAATCTTCTTGAGTATTTAATTTAGATTTTATTATTTTATTTATTTATTTAGACATAGGAGCTTATTATGTTCCTTCTTCATTCCTCATACTGGCTCAGAATTCCTGATCCTCCCAGCTTCTATTTCCTGAGCACTAGGTTTATAGGCATTTACCAACATACCCAACATAATGCTTTTGTACATAACATGTAAATTTTTGTTGTTTTCAATTTATGGTGAGACTGGGTTTCTCTGTGTAGCCTTGGTTGTCCTGGACGCACTTTGTAAAGCAGGCTGGCCTCGAACTTACAGTGATCCACCTGCCTCTGACTCCCTGAGTACTGGGATTATAAAGGTGTGTGCCACAATGCCCAACTTAATATGTACATTTTTTTCATAAGCATGCTCATCCAGATCAAATTCATAAATAGTAATGAATTCTAATAATACAACTGGTGTCCAAGAACCTCAGTGTTCATATCTTCCACTGGCATCTGCTTTGTTTATTGGCAAAGTCACACTCAGCAAATAGTTCTGTTACACAGCCAGCCTTTGTCAAGTGTAAAGGAACTGAGTGCGGTGGAACACAGCACACCTGTAATACTTCAGCAGACTGAAACCGGAGGACTGCTATGAATTCCAGACCATGAGGCACAGTAGTCAGCCAGCCAGAGTCACACAGAGAAACCCTGATTCAAGCATCATGATGATAATTACAAAATTTGATGGTAGGCTGTAAACCCAGAACTTGGGAAGTAGAGCCAAGATCAGGTGCTCAGGGTCCTTCTCTTCCTAGGCTACTTACTGAGTGAATTCTAGCTCAGTCAAGCATATAGGAGATCCTGTTTTGAGACCAATCAACAAGTCAACCAAGCACCACCATAAGTAAACAAAGTGCCAGGGATGTTTCCACAAAGACCATGACTTACAAGAAGTTACTCCACAAGTCTTTAAGCGGCTTCTCTCACTGTCATTTGGTCTGGCCTTGAGTTTATCACTCATTCAGGGAGGAAGTGCATGGCCTGAACAGATGGTAGGCAGCATGCACTTTTCTGCCTGCCCATCTTTACTCTTGCTGTCACTAAAGACAAACATGGGGTAGGGTGGGGAGGAAGGAGAAAAAACATTCAGTTTGGCACGGTCATGTCTGCCATCCAGAATTTGGGAAGCTGAGGCAACAGGCTTGTTAAGAGTTCCAGGCCAGTCTGAGAATTCACTTTGTAGATCAGGCTGGCCTCAAACTCACAGAGACCCAACTGTATCTGCCTCCCTGCATGCTGGGAGCCATGCACACTCCTGGCTCAGAGTGTGAATCTTAGACAGGTTTCCTTCCAGAACAGAGTTTCTCTGTGTAGCCCTGGCTGTCCTGAAACACAGTTCTGTAGACTACACTGGCCTCAGAGACCTGCCATCTCTGCCTTCTGAGTGCTGGGATTAAAAGCGTGCTATGGCTGAATTCTTGATCTTCTTTCTAAGTATTAGGACTACAGGTTTGGGTTTCACTATGTGGCCCAGGGTGGTCTTGAATTGGCAGTTCTTTTGCTTCAGTTTCCCAAAGCTTGGGATTATAAATTTGTGCCACCATGCCAGGCTGGCTTCATTTTAGTTGTAATTCCTGATTTTGAATCTTTGAGAGACAGAGTGACAGAGCAGCCCCATGCAGTTATCTTACAGTCAGAAGTACTTTCTTGGGTTGCTATGAGGTTTATGTTTCAAGTTTGTTAACATCAATAGGTGGACAAAGCAGAGGGAAAGACTTCCTAATGTGTAGACAAGCAGAAATAATATGTTTGATACTGTGAAGACTGCATAGTGTATAAAAATAGCGACTGAAGAGAGGCTAGTAATAGCAACTGAAGAGAGGCTAGTGGCTCATGCTTATCATCTCAGCACTTGGGAGGCTGAAGAAAGATTGGTGAGAGTTCCAGACCATCATGGCTACACTGTGTGTTCCAGGCCAGCTAGAGATAAAAAAGATAGATTCTTTTACAGGAGCAAAACTATCTGTGAGGCCTGCTGGTGTTGTAAACTCAGCATTTGGGAGGCAGAGGCAGGAGTATGGCTTAAAGGTTCAAAGCTAACCTGGTCTAGGTCAGGAAGCTCAGGCTGGCTAAATGTACAGTAAGACCTTGTTTCAACAAACTGAAAAACAAACTCTGCACATAACCGGGTACGGTTTGCACGTCTTTCATCCCAGCATTCCGGAGACAGAGTCTGATATATCTGAGTTCGAAGCCAGCCTGCTATAGAGCTAGTTCCAGGACATCCAGAGCTACATAGTGAGACCCTGTCTCAAAAAAACCACCACCACCAAGAACGAAAAACAAAAAGAAAAACAAAGACCTTGTACCTCACAGAGCCCTTGATCTAATACAGAAATCAATAATGACAGCTACTAGTTATTTTTTATTGTTTTTTTTTTTAACCTATTCATTTCACATTCAGATTATAGTTCCCCTCCTTCGTCTCTTCCCGGTTCCCCCCTCCCTTCCTCTTCTCCCCATCCCTGTGTCCTAGTCCCCAGAAAGGGAGAGCGCTCCTCCCTTACCAACTGACCCCAGACTGTCAAGTCTCTTCAGGAGGGCTATTTTAAACATTTTGATTCCTATAGCCTAAAAATGGGGAAGGAATCTGCGAGACAGGTAATCTGGCAAAGATGCTTGCCGTCAAGTCTAATGTCCGAAATTTGATCGGCTGGATCCACAAGGTGGAAGAAGAGCATGCTCCCAACTCGTCCTCTGACATTCACATGCACGCCTTGGAATGCACGCACCCCAACACATGCACGCACACATGTACAACAAATAAGTAAATAAAAGAGGGAAGAACAATTTGCCACTCAATACAACCTTGAAGACCTACAGGCCAGTATCTGAAGCGTCCCTCCCCCGAAGCCCCGCTCCGGGACTCCGCCCTTACGCCTAGGTCACCGCCCAGGCCACCTCCGGAAGTCTGGAGCTCCGAGGAGAGCGCTTACGTGACGGCCGCACGCAGTGCGCGGGAGGCGGGTCCGATGTGCAGGTCGCTTCAGGATAGGACGCAGCGTGGCGCGGAAGGGGCGGGCCAGGTCAGGGGGCGGTGCTTCGCGTGAGCGCCCTCGGGCCCGGCTTCCGCGTGCGTTGGTCGGCGCTCGGGAGCGCGCGGCGGGGGCGTGCCGGGACCGTCTGGGGGCGGGGCAGCGCGCGGCCTAACGGCGGCGGCGGCGGCGCTGGTGCGGGCGAGTTCGGCGGGTGCAGGTCCCGGCCTGCGCCTGCGGAGGACTCGGGCGGAGGGTCGAAGCGGGCGGTGCTCGCGACAGCCTGCGCTTCGCGATGGTGGGCGTCCCTGGAGCGGCCGCCTTCCAGCGTAAGTGGGGCGGGAAGGCGGGCGGCTGAGGGGTGTGTGTTGAAGGGCCTGCTGCTCCGTAGGCGCGAGGCTCCTCGGAGGCCCCCGGCGGGAGGCCCGGGCAGGGAAACTGAGGCCGGGAGTCGGGTGTTGGATCCAAGGTCACGCGGCTCCCCGGGCCTTCGCGGGCCCTCGGGGCCGCTCTGCGGCTTCCCGCGGGGCTCGGGGCTGCGAGTGCTAAGCGGGACTGAGCGGAGCGGCCTTGGAGCCCAGGCCTGGCGGGCGCCCTGTGGACTGGCCGCGAGAGTATTGTTTTGTTTTCGCGGCGTCGGGGCCGAAGGTCCGGTCCTGGGAAACCGTAGGCACGCCGGATTGGGAGCGACGTGTGGTCGATGTTGGAGGACGCGCGGCCGGGATGCCGAAGGGCCCTGTTTTGTGCAGGTTCTGGGGTCGGACTGCTTGAGTTCATGTCCCGGGTCCCCCGCGTACGGGCTCTGACCTTGGCGCTCTCCGAGTCTCAGTTGCTGTGTCTGAAAAATGGGTTGTTAAGAACGGTCCCTGAATTGCCCTGTAGTTAGGTTTAGTGAGTAGAACGCCCTGAACACCCAGTTGCACATCCCGCAAGCATGAAAACTCGCTATCGTAATCGCGGTTTATTAATAATTATGTGTGCTCTTCGAAGAGTCCGAAATTGGGATCTGTTTTTTTCTTTTAAGCTATCTTAACTTGGCTAGTCCTTCTGTGTGACCTAGTTGTGTTTGTATTCTTATCCCCCTTTCACCACTCCATTTATTTGATGTTCTTTCTAGAATTGTAAGTTCCTTGGAGGAGGGATGGCATCGTTTAATAAGAACAATAAAAATTTAATTGTCATTAAAATAGCAGTAATAGCTAACATTATTTGAGCACCAGGCATTTTTCATTCAATTCATTTAATATTTATTAAATCATCTCTTAAGTACAAAGTATCACTCTAGACCCAGAGAATATGGCAACAAACTAGACAGACTAGATTCTGGACTGAGTTTGAGAGAGGGGACTCATGTAAAATGTTCTGTGGATAGTTCCTTTTTTATGCCAGGTGAAAATCTAAAAACAGGTACTTGAGGCACTTTTGAAGCAGATGGATGTCTGAGTTTGAGGCCAGCCGCATCTACTTAGGCCAGCCGGGGCTACCTAGCGAAACCTGACTCAAAAAAACAAAAACAAAAGAGATAAATAAAAACTAAACTCAGGTTTTTGGGTATGTCTGGTGTGCGAGGATAAAATGAGGGATATTGAGAAGTCTGTGCTCTACCCCCAGAGAGTTGTTCCTTAGCACTTAAAACGGAGGAGTCCTACAGCCTTTCTCTTGGGCACTCATTCCATATTGAAGAGATACAAAATAGATTGACCCACTAAGGCCTTTTGTAATTGAGTGTGCTGTTGCTGCGATTGCTTATGGTCTTGTGGAGGTGGACAGGTAAATCTAAGATTTGACAAAGATTTTATTAGGAAAGTGGGGAAAACTTTTATCTGAATTTAAATTCATGTACTTATAGCAGTATTGGGGATTGGACTTAGTGCCTCGTGCTTTATGCTCTGCACTGAACTGTATTCTCAGCCTTCTTCATTTTCAGACTGGGTCTTACTAAGTTGCCCAGGCAACTTGTAATTCTGTCTCAGCTCCCAGTAGCTAAGAATACAGGCCTGTGTCACTAGGTCCAGCTGAACTAACACATTTTTATTTCCATATCATTTATGTTTTCAGTTAAATGTATTTCCAAAAAGTGGAGTATGAGGAAAACCTGTGTAATTCCAGAATTTAGGAGGCTGAGGCAGGAAGATGTGAGTTTGAGGTCAGCCCAAGCTATGTAGTGATACTGTCTGGAAAAACAAAAGCCAAGAAGTAGGACTTTTGGAGTTTGCTATGTGACTAAGTTTCTTTGCATGAGCAGTCTGTAGTGGTTTAGTGTGCCTGTTTATTGTTTGTTAACTAATTGATTGGGGTTGAGGATTGAATTGAGGGCCTGTGTGATAGGCAGGTCCTTTTCTTTTTTCTTTGTGCAGCCTTTGGTAGTCTGGAACTCACTCTGTAGACTAGGCTGACCTTGAACTCAGAGACCCGCCTACCTCTGCCTCCTGAGTTCTGGGATTAAAAGTGTGTGCCACAGTCAGGCATGGTGGCCAGCCCAGTCTACAAAGTTAGTCCAGGACAGCCAAGGCTGTGTAGAAAAACCCTGTCTCGAAAAACTAAGAAAAAAAATGTGCGCCACCACTCTCCAGGTAGGCACATACTTGTAAGTCAAAGCTACAAATTGTCTCTCTTTTTTTCCTTTATTTCATGTGCATTGGTGTTTTGCCTGCATGTATGTCTGTGTGAAGGTGTTACATGTATCCTCTGGAATTGGAGTTATAGACAGGTGGAGCTCTGGGATTGAACCCGGGTCTTCTGGAAGAGCAGCCAGTGCTCTTAGCACACATTCTCCTTTTGTTTTTAAATTTCAAATATTCGTTCGTTCGTTCGTTCGTTCATTCATTCATTCATTTTTTTTTTTAGAAATGTCTCTCTGGGCCACCTTTTATTTTATTTTTGGTTTTGTCTTTTGAAGACCAGTTCTGTAGCCCTGGCTGTACTGGAAATCACTATGTAGACTAGGTTGTCCTAGAATTAATAGATAATCTGCCTGTCTCTGCCTCCCAAGTGGTAGAATCAAAGGCAAGCAACAGCATGCTTGGTTTGGCCTGTTGTGTGCATGCGTGCCTGCGTGCGTGCATGCGTGCGTGAGGTTTCTAGGAATTGAACTCTAGAAGAGCAGCCAGTGCTCTTAACCACTGAGCCCTCTCTCCAGCCTTGCCTGGCCTCTAACACCTAGTCCTGCTTCAGGTGTCTGAATACTAGAATTACAAGTGTGTACCACCATATATTTAATACTGTACTTTTCCTTTTTTGTTTTGGTTTTTCGAGACAGGGTTTCTCTGTGTAGTCCTGACTGTTCTGGACTTTGTAGACCAGGCTGGCCTGAATCCATTGAGATCTGCCTGCCTCTGCCTCTCGAGTGCTGGGGTTAAAGGCCTGCATCAACACTCCTATTTTAAGATAGGATGTTAATGATCACCAACTTTGAAGGCACACACCTTTAATCCCAGTTCTTGGGATGCAGAGGCAGGGGAATCTTTGAGTTCCAGGACCTCCAGGGCGATACAGAGAAGCCCTGTCTGAAACAAAACAAGATTTGACTCTTGCTGGGCATGGTGGTTTGTATCTGTAATCCTAATTTTTGGGAGGTGATTTTGAGGCCTGTTCAGGCTGTATAGTGAGACTGCCTTAAAAAAAAAGAAAGCAAACAAACAAAAGAATGTTGAATCTCCCTATTTCGTATTGCTATACTTAAATCAGAAATCAAAGTAAAATTCAGAGTGACCAATATAAAATTCTGAGTTTTAGCTCTGAAGTTGGCAGACTTTTAAATTAAATTAGGTGATGGCAACAAATATGTTATCTAAGCTCTCCAGCAGCTGAAGTGAAACGTTGCTCACTATCCGGCCTCACGCGTGCGCGCGCGCGCGCACACACACACACACACACACACACACACACACTACTTTGACCTTTTCTCTTTTACAAATGTTTGCCTTATTCCTTTGTTAATTTCGATCATCATGTGGAAGTACTGCCTGCTTTTAATTTTTAAAAACCACATGAGAACAAACATTCACAAAGCACAGATTTATTCATTTAGGTCTCATGTCCCTAGAGCAACAGTGAACACACCCTCATTTTCCTGGAATTCACAACACTCCTGACCACTACCACCCCCCATCCCCTAAAAGCTAATTTGCCTGTGGTATTTTTCTACACTATAAAAATGTGACAAGTTTTTCTTCAGTACTTTTTGTTTCTTTCTAGAGAAGTAGTGTTAGCCTTGAGGGGAGTTGACAGGCAGAAACAAAAAATCTTTTTTTTTTTTTTCCTCCTCACTTTAGTTTTCTTCTTGTCCAGACTGGCCTGAAACTCAAAATTTCCTGCCTCAGCCTTAGTGATTGCAGGTGAACTATCGTATTTGGTCTGTCTGTCTGTCTCTATCTGCCTGCCTACTTTATCTATCTATCTATCTATCTATCTATCTATCTATCTATCTATCTATCTAGTTTTTTGAGACAGGGTTTCTCTGTGTAGCTCTGGTATGCCAGGCAATATTCCCTGCAGAAATTGCTATTGGTGAAATAGTACTATAGCAGAAAGTACTATTGGTGGGCTAGGGAGATGGCTCAGTGGAGCATGCTTGCTGCTCAAGCTTGAGGACCTCAGTTTGGATCAACCCAGCGCTCCTGAAAAAGGTAAAAAGCCAGGCATGGTGACAAACATCTGTAACACCAGCACCAGAGGGGCAGAGGCAGGCAGATTGTGGGGGCTTGCTGATGAGCTTAGCTAAAACCTAAGCTTCAGGTTGAGTAAAGGGACCCTGTCTTCAAAATTTAGGTGATCAGAAGAAGACACTAAGCATTGACCTCTGCGATCATCAAACCTGCATAGGTAGTTGAGCACATATACACCATACAGGCAAACAAAGGTATCTTGGATAGAGAAAAAAAAAGAAGATGGGGATGTTACTTGAAAGAATACTTAAGTTTTGTTTTGTGTCAAATGACAGTTGAGTCAAGAGCTGAAGGAACTAAGCTAGCCATATGCACATCTGGGAGATGAGCAGTATAGCAAAGAAAATATCAAATTCAGGGCTGTGAGGTGGGAACGGCTTATAGAGCAAACAAATAGAGTTAGTTTGGCTAGAGTACAGCTTAGTGGTAGAAGTTGGACATAGGCTATGGTCCTTATAACAAAGGGTGTTAGCAAGAATGTTAGCTTTTCTGAATGAGATGGGAAGCTGTTGCAGACAGGGATCTTGAGGCGCAGCATCAGTTTGTCAGGATATTAACTCATCCATCTCTCCGTCCACAAGGCTGAGATTTGCTTTATTTACCAAGCTTTAACCCTAGCTGTACTTATAAATATATACACACACATAGCCCATATATCCTCA